AGGGTCACTTGCTCACACACACACACACACACACACACACACACACACACACACACACACATATATATCAGTTCTCTGTGTTTGCATTCCAGCCAATCAAAGTAAAGGTTCTGCTCTGTGCATTTGCAGCAAGCCAGAAAAATAAAAAACCTGCTCGCTCCAGTTTAACTGGCCTCGGCAGATAAACAACTTGAAATGCGTGAACTTTGCGATGACACACACACACACACACACACACACACACACACACACACACACACACACACACACACACACACACACACACACACGTAGCCCATAAACTCAGCCCATCTTAGATTTAGATTCTCCACTACTGAAATTGCATTCTGGCAAAGCAGCCGAGTAAATGCCATAACTCATGTGAGTTATCTGAGGAATTAACTCACATTTCCTCAGGAGGACTTTGATAGTCTTGTGACATTTGTGTGACATTTGGCTGACTCTTCCCATCTTATTTAAAGCTATCTAACAGTTGTCTCTCTCCCTCCTGTCTCCATGCCTCTCTCTTTGTCCTCGCAGAACCCTTCGCAGCGTTTTCTCCTGAAAACCCAGGTGAGTTTGACTCCGATATGATGTCACTTCCTCTGTGGTCTTGCTTCCTGCCCGTTGGTTTGCACTAGCCTGGGGTTTTGCTGCTTGGTGGCACCGAGTTGTATCAAACACTTAAATAAAAAGCCCAACGCAGCAACACAGAGGCTGAGTCGGCTATAGCTGTGTGACTCCAGATGAATATATCTGCATTCATTATTCAAACTGGTGGTTCATGGCATCGGCATGTGCACATCACCAATCAAATACTAAACCCCTCGCTAAAATCTAAATTTAAAAAATGCCAAATGAATAATCTCACTGAGCTGTTGTGCACTAGTTTTACCTTGTCAGTCTCAGTGGAAACAAAGCGTTAGTCTCCAAAGAGCTAACTCTGCGTGCAAGGCAAGCTAAATCAAGCGCACCTCATGGAGTCAGATATTTGAAAAGAGCTACATATTCTCACTGCCTGACACAGCCTGAAGGGTTTTAAATAACTGTCTGCCTCATGAAAAATATTTGGAGCATCCTGGGGGACTCTGAGATTGATGTTAGTGTTTTGGCATCTCATAATGTCTTCCAATAAGATAAGAGCCCGGCGGTTTCAGTGCGAATGTGATGTGTGTGCACTTCTTCAGCTTTTCTACTCGTCTGCCTCACACACACACTCACACATAGTCTCTAACCCTTGATAAACATGCACAAACACACACATGAACATCACCTCACACACACACACACACACACCAGTGTCCCCAGTGGAAAGCAATCAGATAGAGTGACTGAGCAGAGGCAGGCGCGGTGTCTCTCTCCTCTCCCTAACTCAGCTCTGTCTAATGAGTGTGTGCAGTGTGAAGTAGCAGCAACACGCACCATTTCCCTCTGTAATGATGTGACACGGTCCAAAAATCAGGATGTATTCAGCTCTGCTTCACCTTCCCTAGTTCAATTTGACATTCTCTCGGTCTTACAGCTCTCTGTCTGAAGGAACACCCGGGCTTTATTTTAAAGTTGTCCATGTCTTCAGGGGATCCTTTTCACATAGCAGGCGAATCAAATCTTCTTGGAAGGTGGTTAGTTAGTACTTACCAAGAATTTGAGAAGAGGGTTCAAGCCAGGGTTAGCAGCGTATAAGATCTGTGGAGATAGTCTCCAAGGAGACGGAGCTTGTCTTGAGGGGGGAGAGGACTGGCCAGCAGGAGGATGCATGAGAAAGAAGAAAATCAGAAACCACGAACAGAGAACAGGATAAATGATGCACTCAAAACAAATCTGCCATCTCCAGCCAGATAAATAACAAATCCCAGTCCAATATCAGCTCAGAGAGCTCTGGAACATTGGATCCCACTGATTCTTGCATGAGGTTTATCGGGGGGGCAGTGACTTCCTGTGCCAGTGTGAAACAGGAAGAGGAAGCTTCCTAATTCAATGTGTGTGGGTGCTTATAACTAATTGTTTTGGCTTCTGTTTCACACCAAGTCATTCCATTGGAGCTTTTTTTGAAAAATTAATTTGACTGGATCAACCATTGGACTGATTTCAACCCAAATCCCTCGATGGTCTTGGTGTGAAAACTCCAACTGCAACCCCAGCTACATGAGAGACATGGATGCATTTTTACTTTTATTTTTGGCCTTGGAGATTTGTTTTCATTTTTGCAACTGGCATGCTTGTGCATGCTCATACGAGGTGCACGCCTGCTGTTCATATGATGAAGAACAACAGGGATAGAAACTAAAGAATTAAATGTAGAAAAGTGCCACTCCTCTCTTTTCCCGCTGGCCAATCACTCTGTATCTCTCCACCAGGGGGAGGCGTTCCTGTGCCTCCCTTACCCATCCACTGGTATTACATTATGGCCGCGGGGGTCGCCCTCCTTCTCCTGGCGGTGGCCATCTTTGTCAGGGCCCTCTGTTGCTGCCGACAACACCTGGCCACCAAGAAGAGCCAGCTGTCGGTGGCCTATCACAGCTCCTCGCAGTGCTTCCAGTACTCTAACTGGTCCTCCAGTATGGCCGCCCCAGGGGTGGAGCCAGTCCTGACCGTGAGGCTGGACAGCCGGGACCGACACCGGACCCTCTGCTGAGGGAGGAGCATTAGCTACGTGTGTTTGGCAGAGCAGGGCGTACGTGTGATGTCAGTGTGATTGGCAGAACATCCACTGGACGACCCCCACCCTCATTTAGTTTACAGAGGGTGATGATGACTAAACTGCCATGTGAACATTTGCTAAAGAAACACCTCCCTCTCTGCCTGGATGGATGTCGCTTGGGTTTTTTCTCTGTTCCATTAAGGAGTTTGCTGTTGACATTTCACACTGTGCTGCTCGTGATGAGAGGACTAAAGTCTGAGTAAGTTATTTATCTGAACAGCTTGTCTCGGCCCATTGAGTGCCGTCTGGCTGCTCATAACCCCAGCGGTCCTCCTGGACTGACCCCAGCCCGGACACACACAGACATGTGTGGGCTGCAAAGAGAAGGGGTCGAGCCGCTCCTGCTGCAAGAGCCAGCCGGAGCTGCCAAACCACGGGCTGAAACAAGACCCCAGAGACCCTGGAGCTCTGCAGCGCTGAGAGAGAGACGAGGAAACTGTTAGGCTGAGAGGCATTCAACGTGCTGGCTGTGGAAATGATCTGGCAAGCCCCGGAAAAATAAAGCTCTTGGTATCTCTGTAATAACAACACGAGAAAGCTGTGATATGAGTTGTACCAATAGTGAGGGGGTTGTTAGGAAAAATCTCTCCATTGTGCTTTTTCAACAGAGCATGTTCACATTTAAAAACAAAGGAATGCAAATCCATCATACTTTAAGTGCTGCACCACAAATGGAGATAACCAGCTCTTTGATTGAACGTCTTGTCTGTTCCTGATAAAGGCGTCAGTCAGTGATGGATGCAGCCGTCCTCAGTGTTTAGTGTTTCATCTTGATTCTCTGGCGTAATAAAGCACGTTGTTCCCACTCCCATTTATGCTACATACCACCCACCCCCATTGTTCCTCCATATGTCCCTGAGCCGCCCAGATGAAACCCATGCTGAGCCCAGCCTTGTTGTGTTTTCAGTGGGAATATACGCTTGTTGTTTTTAGGGTTGTAAATAGACACAGCTGTCTGCCATCACCATTTTGCTTTTGATTTATGCTCCTACAAATCCCACAATGCCACTGGACCAGCTGGAAGTAATAAGTGTATCTGCGCACCCTTCAGAGGGATCCCAGGCATTATGAGAACCAGAGCAGAGCTAGTGATGCTTCTTCCTAAAGTGCCATAAGAGGCCATGAATGGCTTTAACATAATATAAATCATAGTGAATGCACTTCTTATTCACGTTGAACATATATCTGGGATCTTAAAACATGTTTTATTGGGACGTTTCTAATCATTTTTACTGACATAGAGAAATTGGCCCCTATTTTTCTCTCATCAGTCGGTAGAGAGGTGGCGAGATTTGACACGAGTCCATTTGAACTCCTCAGATTGAATGGAATTGAGGTCTTCACTCTGTGGCTTAACGGCCCGTGCTCTCGGGATCTGTCGCACCAGCAGAAATCCATCACCTCCTCGCCCGCAGCTCAGCAGAAAGCACCTCCATTTGTCGCCCACAATCTCGAAGCTGCACTTTTCTATTGGCGGAGAAAAAGGAGGGTTTTTGGCAGGCTCTCACCACAGGCTTTTAAATCAACTTGGGTGGGGGGGGGGCACCGTACTCTGCCATCTCCACACCGTCACGCTCCAAGCCTCTAATAGTTGTAATTAGTTAATGGACGGATAACATTTATTAAGGCTGCGGTAAGCACTTTTCCCTCCCATCTACCGCACCTCCGTCGCCCAATCCGCTGCCAACTTCAGTTGCCCCGGAAACGGTATTAATAACGCCATTGGCCATCTAAAGACCCCCAGATCCAGACGTGTGCCTTGCCAAGCAGTTACTCCCACTATGCATGCCTGCCAAGAGCAGCGAGCGCAAACACACACACACACACAGTGTAAGGAGGAAACTCATCTAAAGTACACTCCAGCTATTTGGCTCAAGTGTTGCAGCCGCTGCAAGTTTTAACAACACTTATAATCATCCAATTCAGACACTCTCATACATATCACTTCACACCCCTACTTAAATGTGGCCATTAGTTTTTTTTTCTTTAATCATCTTATGCACCACTCTTAAGTTTGACAGTACCCGTGTCGATGAATTTACCGGTGATAATGATGTTGCTTATTCGATGTTTGCATCTTTATCCACACAGAATGAACAGTCTTATACCATCAGTATGCTATGTGATGACTGTGTGTTTGACAGGAATGTATCATAATGATCTTTCTCTATTAATAAAGTCATATTTTTCTATTATTCCCAGACTCATGTGTGTGTATATGGACGCTGAATACAGAATACATGTGATATAAAGGGTTGTTTATCAGTAAAAATGTGAATAACCAGTGCCACCTGTTGATTGTAATGGTTTTAAATATGGAACAGCAAAAAGCTTTATAACTTCAATTATGTTATGGTTTTATGCTTCAAGACTTATATTTTCGTGTTTCTTTTTAACAGTTAGAAGACCCAATGAATTTGGAGATGGACGTCTTTTCAGTGGCAGAGACTCTCTTGGTGGAGGTAAGTCAAAGCAACACCTTTGATCAGATGTAGTCACTTCTGAGTGGCGTGTAGCTAACTTTTCTCTTCCCTTCACAGTTTTACATTTCCCGGAGTGGAACACAGCGTCCCCGTCCTCCGACCCTCCGGTGACCCGCGTCTCGGAGAAGGACAACTCGTGGCTGTACACCCTGGACCCCATCCTGGTCACCATCATCGTGATGAGCTCCCTGGGCGTGGTGCTGGGGGCGGTGTGCGCCGGCCTCCTGCTGTACTGCACCTGCTCCTACAGCGGCCTGTCGTCACGCTCCTCCACAACCCTGGAGAACTACAACTTCGAACTGTACGACGGCCTCAAGCACAAGGTCAAGCTGAACCAACAGCGCTGCTGCACCGAGGCGTGAGGAGGCTTCACGAGAGGGGAGACGGAGCGAGAGATGCTGCCATTCTGTGAAAACCTCTCACTTTATTCTTCATTTCCTCACCTTTAGTTGATTTCCTCAGTGAGTGGTGCAGATCCTCAGACATATGGACAACAGAAAGCCACTTTTATTTAGCTCAAATGGGAACTTCAAAGATCTAAAAACGTGGCACGGTCCAGTGTTGGTAGTATTTTTGTGGTGAAATAACCAATGAGAGAAAGACTGGGGTTACCCAGATGGATCGTTCCATTGCGGGGATGTTACGCCTCAAAAAGTATCTACACATATCAATTACAGAATCCTGTTCCACCAAACGTGTATAAATGCATCCTAGATTTGTACCAGGTGAAGTTTTGAAGCAGGATACTGTAAGCTACACAGAACACGTTGTGTTGGAAAGGTGGTAGGTTAGGAACGTGCTTAGCAAGCGTCTTTTGATCACATGTGAACACAGTGGCCTAGAACTTAGCTCCTTTGTGTGGCCTGTTGGCTTTTTTTGTTCCGTCCGTTGACTCTGCTACCTATCAGCCTCAGTTATCCTCTTAGTTCCTGACAGTCTGCGGTATTTTTAGTCCCAGACGTCCATCGCTCCGTTCCTCTCTGTTTAATGTTTTCCTTCTGGCCTACCGCCAGCCTGTGATGGCAGATAAGTAGAAAAAAAAAGAGGCGTATGTGTGTGTAGAGGTGGGGAGTTTGGGCTGGGTGGGAGCTTTTTAACACATTCTTTTAATGACAGAGAGAGTTATTGTTAGATTTAGTTGTTACTGGTTCCTGTCAAATAGAAGGTCATGTTTACATTGTGGTTAATGGTAAAAAGGTCAAGGAGCTTTGGTCGGTGCAACCTATGGATTGCTGGTGAGGGACTGAGAACCACTGAAGACAAACAGAGAGACAATGAGACCCCTGCTCTCTCACAGGGGCCATGGGCTTTCTGCGGGGAAATAAAACTAACTGCGTGCCCCGGACACACAACACGCCTTAAAAGAAACTGTCCACGGAAATGATGAAAAGGAAAGTTGAGGCAACACGAAGACAAGAGAAGAGGTATCCATATCTTTTCTCTTTCCACGTGGACCTCAAAAGCCATGATTAAAGGACCTATCCCCCCTTACTCACACATACACACAGAGCACACCACCCCCACCTCAAACTACTGGCTAATTGTGGCCTGTTTTGTTTTTGTTTTTTTTAAATGTCGGCTCTCGCAAGGCAGGCATTCTTCGGGACTGTTTTTGAACCAATCAGAAAGGGTCTTGTATTGCACGCTCTTGATGGACTCGTAAGCCATGAGAAGAAGAGGGTGGGAGAGGAAGTCAACTCCCACGCGCACACACACACACATTACTTCACTTGTATATAAAGATGTATACAGAACATGAACACACTCATAAACTCTGAGACTCAAAGGGAACAACAGTTGCGGCTGAGAAGCTTACGGTATATATTTTAGACCATGGAGTACAGAAATGCCCCATGGATTCAATACACACACATTTCATCCCATCTCGCTGTCACCACATACACACACACACACACACACACACACACACACACACACTCCTCTGAGGCCCTCTCCTCTGAGGCCCTCTTCTCTGGACCCCACTGACTCTCTTCAAAGTGCCTTGGAGCCTCGGGGGTCCAGCTTGCCTTTGGAGCCGGTATCAGAAACAGAAAGTTGACGCTGACAGTGACAGTGTCCCAGCGCCCCCTTCTGCCTGGGAGGACCAAAACACGTAGGCTAAATAAAATTTTAAAAGGACGGGATTCCCCCTTTCGCACTGCTCGGACTGCTGTTGTTGTTGTTTTGAAGGGGACTTTGTACAGAAATGCTCTTTTTATGATTGTTATTATAATTATTGTTATGATTATTTAATAAAGGATTTATACCATAATGAGAAATAAGCCTTTCTTACTGATTCATCGTGTACAATAGGTTTTCGTAGTATTCTTGACATTCCTGCAATATTTGTGTTTCCTGTCCAATTACCCACAAACTCCATCTGAGGCTCACTTTTAAATTGCAAAAAGAATACACACGGGGAATCACACACACAAACGCATGTTCTCACTCTTTTCCTCCTACACACACACACACACACACACACACACACACACACACACACACACACACACACACACACACACACACACACACACAGACCCCCCCACCTCCTGGCTGTGAGAGCAGGACGGCGCCTCGTCTACTTAGAGGACGAAACCGGCCGCTTCACAGCTCCGTCTGAGAGTGGAAACGGGATTAAATCCTGCGGTTTGTCTAAATCCAACGTCTGATGAAGAGCCTGAAACACATTACCCCACACGAGAAGCATCCAGGGAGCACTGACTGCAGCAGGTGGAGCTTTACGGCCTGAAACCAGAACATTTAATGGACGAAAAACTCTTCACTGCATCCTGGAACTGAAATATGAGCGCGTTTGAGAACGACTGCATTGAAGAGTTTTTCGTCCATTAAATGTTCTGGTTTCAGGCCGTAAAGCTCCACNAATTATATTTGATGCAACTTTAGTTACATTTCCATGACTTTTCCAAAACTTTGGGAAAAATATTGTTTTTTTTCCAGGGCCTGGAATTAGCATTTAGACTATTTAGACCATTTCCATGACTTTTCCAGGTTTTTAATGACCGTAAGAACCCTGTAAAGATAGATTCTTGCTTAGCTTCTTTGTATTATTGAGATTTTACGAGGGTTCTGCTGCAGCACCTGTTTTTTAGTCCATATGTCGATCATAGAGGCGGCGTGTTCTGACATGTTAGTGAGCACCTCCAAGTCTCTGTATTGCAGCTGCCTGAACGACTGCATGGTTTCAAACAGTGCGTTGAAGGGGATCCCATCGATGTTTTCTACCAAAGGAGGGATTAGCAGGTTAATCAAACAACGAGAAAATACTTCTGATTTCATTTATAGACTAGAATTCAGAGCCGTGTTTACCTTGAGTTATCTTACTGCAGATGTCCAGCAGTGGTTTGGAGAAGAACTTCATTGTGGCCATAGCGGTGATTATGTGCTGGGAGTCTAAAAGGCTGAAGTCCTTTGACATTGATAAGGCCTTCGCCTGGAGGAAGCAGGGGACAGAATGAGTCAATGGGGAATGGATTCAGTTGCATAGACAGTGAAACACAAGACATTTCTTGGTCATGCCCTGTAGTTTATAAATACTATGATATTTCAATGAGCTGTTATTAGATAATGTCATGAGCAGTCAAGGACATTTCTGCACAATTATAAACTTCGAGAACTTTAGAATCAAATAAATCAGGGTCTCAATATACGGTTAAAATCAGGACTCATAAACCAACCTCGAATTTCCGTTTGAGGTCTATTGGGGTGTCTTTGCCCAACATACGCATCGTATTCTGCAGAGCCATTACGTTTTTGATGTTGGGAAGACGGGCCTCAACCACCATCCTAGGACACAGCCACAAAAAAACGAAAATGTTTCCAAATCTGAAAAAAAATGTGTCATGTAAATATCTCAAGGGGTCTTCCTAACAACAACACCACAATCCTGACCTCACGCCATCCTTCAGTGCATCAGTGTTGTTACTCTGCTCCATGTTTCGCAGACAGGAGGCCAAGATGGACAAGCTCCTCTCATCAAAGCCATTCAGATTCTCCTGTAAGTGGACAATAACATTAACTCGGGTTAAAAACAAAAACATTTCCAAATGGAAAATTACATTTCGTTGATGGTCAATCTTTCGCAAACTACCTGGCAGTGTCGGAGAAAAGTCTGGATTACACGGCTGCCCTGAGGAACCCCAAGATTGACCATACTCAGGAGAGAATAAGCTACGTTTCCATTGCCCATTCGCCCCACATTCTTCATGGCTTGTTGCAGCAGCACGTCAAAACCAGGATGGTCAAACATGAGCTGCAGCTCGTAGCGGTGGTTATCAATCGACATCTTCTTAGTGATGAACCAGATGTGGCACAGGCACGAGCTGATCTGCTTAACCGTGGGTGCATTTTCAGAGGTGAGCTCCAACACGTCTGACGGGGACATACAGCTTTTCAGGCGGTCCATTAAAGATGAAGTCAACTGTGTCTCGTTTGGGGCTGTCTCATCAGATTGGTTCTCATCGGGCAGCGAAGACTTTACCAGGGGAGAGGAAAGAGGCTCCTTCTCTTCCAGGACCTCACTGTGAATCGTCTCCTTTGAGTAGAACCTCACTGAACTCACACGGTTGCTTTCCAGGCATGTCTGATGGTGCTTTGTGCCCCATATGTGTGCTAACTGCTGACTGGGGAAAGTTGTGTATTTGGGTGATTTCTTCCCCATTAGATTGCTCCGTTGCCATAGAGACCTGCGGCTGCAAAGGCATCCCCATCTCATTACCTCTTTTGTCACCCAGGCAGACATTGTACTGTAATGACTTAGGGGACGAGATAGAAAGAGTCCTTGCGTCCTTAATTTACGCACTGCCCCTATGTGAAGGGACAATCTCAATCAGGTATTTAGCTAGCAACTTGAGTAAAATGTAAAAAAGTATGGCATTTACTTCCAAATTAGCTTCAGTCAACACTTTATTTACATTATTGGCCACATAGACGGTTACCTCAAATAAGTAATTAGTAAAAATGAAGTATTACAAAGTACTATGACTGAAGATAAACACAAGGTCAACGGACTGGCTCCTCCAAAAACACTGGCTAGCTCACATCACCTAATGTTAGCAAAGTGACGCACCATACCTTATTACTCCAACATACAAGTAACTGTCAAAAAGAAACACACGGCACTTGCTGAAACATGTTACATTTGAGTTGAAATGTGTTAAACTAAGGGACACAGGGCTACATTACACTAAAACGATACTAATGTTTGCTAGCACTCCCATGCGCTGCTCCAGTGCTCCGTGCTGTGTGCGCTGCCATATTAAGTCCCCCTGTCAACCCGGTTAAGCACGAACTGTCACAATATAGTAAAAAATGGTCATTGTAAATATACAACATATCAAGTACAATATTTATCACGCTTTATACCACTAAATGGTGGACATGTTTAATGATAGGCCTCCTATTCATCGCAATAACAGGCCCTGGTTTTATGTTCGTTTGCAGCGCTTCCTACACGGACTCAAATAAGCGCTACACCCACAGTTTCCTAGCAACCGACGCCATCCGGGATGCAATGGCTAAATTTGTGCTCGCTGGTAAAGTGTGATCTAACTCATTTTCTTTTAACGTGTTGCTGTAGAATATAAAACATACAACTGCTACACTTGTTATCTCTTCAGGCAAAACGGACTGCCCACATTACGCCAAAGCGGAACTATTAGCAGACAGTCTGCAGGGATGTCTGCCAAACTTCAGGATCCACAAGATCTCAGTCCTTCCACATGCATGGAAGGTAATATTGCTTATTTTAAACTATATTAAGTCTCTTTGACTTACAAATCATCGGTATATTTATCCTGTTTCCTCTCACTTGTCTCTCGATAGGAATGGCTCGAGGACACCTGCACAAGAAATGGCTGGAAGCACGAGCAGTCCCCTTTGGTTTGGAGGGAGCTGGTGGACCAAGGGGGGAAAGCGATGCTTTTAGGGGGGTTTAGTGACTTCCTGGAGCATTGTCAGGTATATAACCCTTCTAAACCTACAGTAAATCCTGTTATGCTGCATAATTTCTGTCCCCATGAATGACTTCCTTATATGTTCTTTAAACTGTGAGAAATATGTATAACAAATGGCTTGGATTATAGGTCTAGGTCTGCCAAATGTTATTTTTATCATCCCTTGTTGTGCAGGACTATTACAGCGTCACATCAGATATGCCTACAGATATCATGCTGAGTGTTGCATCAGAGAATCTGGAAACCAAGATGAACTCAATCGTAGAGGAGCAACATCGTGTCAGTCTTATTAAACCCCTTCATATATGGCTCAGCAGGTGGGTTGGTTTGAATATAAAAATAAAAAAGTTGACATTTTTTTTAAGAGTTAGCTGACAGATTGGGTATTTCCAGCGCTCTCAGCCCAACCGGCCACTTCCTGATCCCCAACCTGCTCTCTGCTGAGGTGTTCCCCAACACTTCAGCTATCAGCCTCCACCTTTTAAACCTGGAGGGGAAAGAGGAGCAACTTCAGTGGCTTAGGATGGAGACGGAGAACCTGGCACTCCCTCTGCTATATCAAGTATGCTTCTTTTTGGGGACTATATTTTAAACAAAATCAGAAGGAAAACAAAGCTATCTAACTGTATCCATTCACAGGTGACCATTCACACAGATCTGGAACAGGCCTTTAAAGAAGCTGATGTCATTCTACTTCAGGATGAGTGTTGGTCTGATGACAGTGATACTGAAGATGAGGAGGAAATGAAGAAGAAGGTGAAGAGAATTTCAGACAGATACAGAGAGTATGGACAGCTGATTGACACACGGGCCAACAGGGAGGTAAAGGTCATCGTGTCTGGGGACTCCTTTGTCAACCTGAGATGCTCACTACTTTTGGACAATGTAAACTTGATTGACAGCAACCAATTTGTCACCGTGGCAACTCAGCTGGAGAATGAAGCAAGGGCAATCATCGCAAGGAAGCTGAAAGTGAGGACGTCAGGTAGGAAATTATCCCTCTAATAGATATTTTAAATACATCACCTTCTTAAGCAAGATGAATGATCCCTCCCTTCTGCTGTAGATGTCACACACGTCATTGTGTGGGGAAACATCAGCGGCAGTTTCTATATTGACCTCCAGAGAGCAAAGGTGTTCAACTATGATGGGCCAATCAAAGGACCGGCTTACTTTTCCCAACCAGCCAAAAACATCCTCCAAGAAAGGTTTGCCATAATAAAAATAAATGATATGAAATGGCAAAACTGCCAACCAAACCGTACCCTAATGAGGATTCAGTTCAATGGGTGAAATGTACGGTTGAAACGTCCCCAAAAAAGGTGAATGATCTCCTTCTCTCTTCCAGGAAATGGTTGGAAACAGACTTCCAGGAGTTGGTGCGTTGTCAGCGTGCAGCTGTGGCTTCAAAGACCTGCCGTGCTGCTCCCATGTCGCTCGCTAATGGGATCCTCGAGGTCCTAAAGGCGTGGAATGGCATTTGCGGTGCAGATGAGATCTTCTCTTTGGGAGTGCTTTGCCCAGGTGAGGAGGATACAATCATCTCAGACATTGGTTTTTAGCTGATCTATCTTGTGTTTGAACTAATCTTCTTTGGATGCTTGTAGGTGACTATAATCTCCCAGATGGCATCGTCCTCTCAGTCCCGGTCATTTTCACAGACAGGAAGTGGTCCGTGCTGTCTGATGTGACACGTGAAGACAATTTGAAGGAGAGACTTGAGATCGCGGCGAGTGAACTCCGGCAGGTTTGTGAAATTACACACAAATGAACAATGGTGCTCACAATCTGACAAATCATGGGGTTTAAAACTAATTCTAACAGGTGTTTTTCTCCCCCAGGAGAAAGAACTGGGATCGGTTGCGATAAATAAAACAGACTAAAACATGATGAAGTAATCCAGAAGAATCTCACTGCCACATCTTTTTTTTTGTTTCAGTTTGTTCTTTTATTCTCAAACTTTCACATGTGGTGTTGCAGTTTTATTTGACCAGTTTCATGACAATAAAGTTTTTTCCGCTTTGTGAAACCCGTTCGTTGCTGTTATATTTTCAGATGTAAAAGACCAAACTGAGTAGTTTATGGAAAAGGAGAAATTAGAAAATATATTCCTTTTTCTTTAATTGTACATTTCAATAAGTGCCTTTTTTATAGTTCAAGAAGCGATATTTTTAAGCATAAAACACACGACTACAATACACAGACTAGCCTGTTAATATCCTTCTATACATCTGATGTAATCCCTGGCCTTAGCAGTTGGAGACTTCCCCTTTGTTGGTAATGAAATATAAACAAACTAGATTTAATGGGCTCTTTTAACCTGAAACATTCAAATTGATTTTTCTTTCCTCACAAATTGTGCAATACTTTGTCAGTCGACAAGGAGAACTTGAACAGAGCTCTGTTTTTACATGCAGAATATACACGTTCCTTTTTAGCATTTCTACGCTATACACAAGGAGGCATCGACTGAAAAAGGACGGGTTAGTACAAATACAGTGCTGCGACAAGTCGGGAAATGGACACACATTCTGCCATGGTATGTTCAATTTGTACAACCCACCTCTGAGATTCGGATGCCGAGTGGTTTACAGAAAGCAAAACCGGCCTCTTGATACAGTCGAGCATAGTGCTGGATTTCGTTTTTGTCATTTTCTAACATTTTAAATTGCAATGTCCCTCAAAAAAAAGAATCTGCTCCAATAATCCTTTAAAAATGTGCCTCAAATAATGATCATGGACATGCATGGACTTGTCGTGGCACAAAGGAGGTTATTTGGTAAATATACATATCCCAGTGATGACTTTACAAGGGAAAGAAAGTTGGGGCTTTTATAACAACACTTATCAATAGAGTTGTGAATCAAGAGTAAAGTCAATTACGTATGGATGGACTCTATTGATAAAAAAGAGGCATCAATTACCGAGGAACATTTCTTATATCTTGCCACAAAGTCACTTATGTGTACGGGTAAAGATCTACTACTGTTCAACATCCAACAATGTCAACGTTTCCATTTCCAGGCAACAAGTGAAAGACCGCTAATGACTGAGTGCTTCTGTCAGAAATCTAACCTTGGAGACCTTGGAGGTGAGGACAAGGTGAAGGACTATTGCTCCACTACTCTAACTCTGGGAATACATAATATCGTACAATCATTATGGGTAATTTAGGGGATTGAATTTAGTTTTAAACTCCCCCTGAGCTTAACAATAAACTGACTGACCGTTAAATTAAATAATTTATAGCATATATTATTAGTTATATAATCCAACAGCTCTCCATAGACCCATCTGACTAACATCTGAATGAAAACAAGATGGAAGGGTTACACTCTTAGCCAAGGGGGGAAATAAAGGCATCATTATTCTCACAGGAAGAAACGTACCTGCTTTTTAATCAAACAGATTTCAATGTGAGATGAACCAAATCCAGATTTCAAATACATTGCAACCCCTGAAAATAATGATGTCTCTATGACTTGTAACCCAAGCCAGTTTTAAACCGAGGCTGAACAGACCCTTGTCATCTCAACATGTCCCCCCCCCCCTATCAGCGACCGACAGTATTAAACGGCTAACTTTGATAAATGCTTTGTATATAGCAGTATGTGTGAAGATAATGTAGGTCTAACGTACAAATAAAAACAAAAACAGAAGGGGGTGAGGCAACAGGGAAGCTATGACTGTGGTGGCTGCTGAGGAGACAGAGGGGTCTCCCCACCCCCCGCCTGTCTGTCAGAGGTGAGGTCCAGCCCCTCGTCATACTGCTCCAGTTCACTTTGGTCCAGAAGCTCAAAGTCCTCTTCTTCGGTGGGAACCAGTGTGTCGTCGGGGACGTCCTCGCCGGCGCCGCTTTCCGCCGCTTCGTCCAGGACCTCGCCGGCGCCGCTTTCCGCCGCTTCGTCCAGGACCTCGCCGGCCCCTACTGTAGTGATCTCGGTGGTGGGGGTCTCCAGAGGGCCCGGGGGGGTTTCAGTGGGGAGGAACTCAGCCAGGGAGGGGTCCTCGCTGGAGCGCAGCAGGGCCGACAGAGTGTTCTGCACCACGGTGGAGATGGCCGTGCTTACTATCTCCTCGCTCAGCGCCTCCAACGACTGCTGTGCATCCTGGGTAACCGCATCTTCCTTCCCGTCTCCCGCCTGTCTCTCCGCTGCCTCCCCTCCCTCGCTCCCGGGTGGCACTGCGTGGCCGTTGAAGTGCGTGTTCACAAAGTGGAGCGGAGAAGCGAGGTGCTGGATGAGGAGGCTGATGGGGCTCAGCAGCTCCCCCTCTGGCGGAGCACCGGCCTGGGCTCCGTCTCCCTGACCGCTGCCCCGCAGAGGGAAGTGGAGCTCCATGGAGGGGAACTCCTCCACTGAGGGGAACTCGGGGAGGTCCCTCATGTAGGCCTCCTCCGGGTCGCTGTGTACACTCTGCTGGTCCAGATCTGTGGGACGGATGAGATGGCAAAAAACGTTTGATCATATCAGCGGAATATCATTCACAAAGCAAGGTTGAAAAAATACAGTAAAAGGACAAAATGTGAACATCCTGTAATTACCCAGAAGGACAGAGGGCATAGTTTGGGCACAAAGGGATGTTGAGATGAGGATGCTTTACCTTCAGAGAGGTCCGTGAGTTGAGGAGTGGTGGCTCTGGACACGGAGAAGCCCCCACTCTCCAGGATGGACACCTCCTCGTCCGACAGCTCCGAGTCTGTGATGGCCATCGCCAGAGCGGTGGTCTTCGCATCCACCTGACCAACACAACAGAAACACAGCGTTATCACTGCTATAACACAAACGCATCATTATCCTTCTCATGATCGCACTTATTGAGCCCTTGAGAGGAAAACAATAAAAGGGTGAATATACAGTAAGTGAGGCTTTATGTAAATCTGCTGGAGACCAGTCAGATAACCCTCATTATTGTTCAAATTCTTAAACTGGAGGTCTTATCTCATTCCACAGACCCAGCTTAGTGACTGAGCACCTGACACTACAGTGTTTGAATGAAACAGAGTACGCGCTGAAATCAATGGAATGTGGTAGTTCTTGAAATATATAGCTTAAAGCCATTTACTTCACAACACTGCAGAGCTTTATAAGCATAACCTGCTTTCCACACTATTACTGCTTCTGTTAATCCTACACACCTACACACCTACACATCTACACACCTACACACCTACACATCTACACATCTACACATCTACACACACCTACACACCTACACACACCTACACACACCTACACATCTACACACACCTACACACACCTACACACCTACACACCTATACACACCTACACACACCTACACATCTACACACCTACACACACCTACACACCCTACACACCTACACATCTACACACACCTACACACCTACACACCCCTACACACCTACACACACCTACACACCTACACACCTACACACACCTACACACACCTACACACACCTACACACCTACACATCTACACACCTACACACACCTACACACCTACACAGCCCTACACACCTACACACCCCTACACACCTACACACACCTACACATCTACACACCTACACACACCTACACACCTACACACACCTACACACACCTACACACACACAAACCTACACACCTACACACACACAAACCTACACACCTACACACCTACACACACCTACACACACCTACACACCTACACAGCTACACACCTACACCTACACACACACCTACACACCTACACACACACCTACACACACACCTACACACACACCTACACCTACACATCTACACACCTACACACCTACACATCTACACACATCTACACACACCTACACATCTACACACCTACACACACCTACACACACCTAGTACACACCTACACACCTACACACACCTCCCCCCAGCCTGCTCTATGTGTAATGTGAGTACTGTCTGCAGGTGTGTCTCCGTACCGTGGTGGCGAAGCAGGACAGCTCCTCCTCACTCTCGCTCTCCGTCTCAGCTCTCGGCTCGTCCCCTTCCTCGCCCTCCTTCTTCACCTCTGTTAAAAAACACACATCGACATTTTTAAATAGATCTCAACACGTTTCAGTTAGGACTTTTTAAAACCATATCGTTAAATCTAATACCCCTTTGCAGTCAAGGAACATTAGCATGAATGAAAATACGTCCAAGATTTCGTTTTCAAAAATAGTATTCTCCATCCACGCCTTCTTTATCAAGTGATGCAATTTAATCTAACTATAAATCTAAAACCTATCTACAGTTGTCAGTATAAAAAGGGCAAAGAGAAGCTGATCTCCTTGGATTCAAAACTCCTCGCGTGCTTGAATCCTGCGTGCATGCGTTTCAATAGCTGCAGGGTTTTAATTTGATGTAGTGCACGGAGAGTTAGGCCCTTAATCTAAAACGTGGCACTCACTTCTCTTGTCGTGCTTGCGGTGCTCGGTTTCTCCCTTCATGCTGTAGTCCAGTTTCATGAAGATCGGCTCCAGGCCCGTGTACATCCTCTGGATCAGTTCATGGTACACCACCAGCGGCCATAACAGCACGCTCAGCACTGAACAGGTGCACAGACAAAAGATTTAGACTGCCTCTTCCTTCATGAGTATCAAAGCAAAATGCTGCACATTCACAGGGAGCATGCAAACAAAAAGGCTGACTATGAAGTGAAGATCAAGCTGTGTTATCTAAATGTGAAGTTTTAGGAGTTGATTGGAATAAAATATCCTCTCACTACAAATATAAAAAGAATGACCTATCAGATAGGAGATTGGGTTGCAATAGGATACCTGATATTAACAGGGAAGGCCAAACCACAGGGGAATGGTATCCTTATCTATTATCACACACCCTCTGTTAGTCAGGGCAAACACACAGTCCAGTGTAAATGAAGGGCTGGAGCACAAGAGTTTCTTTATGTCCATTAGAGACTCACCAATAATATAGGAGATCATGATTCCAGGTACATAATGTCCAACCACAGAGAGTACAAAACAGCTGCTGCACATCATCCCACAGAACTGGGAAACAGAGTAAAGTAAGCAAATTTGTTTGTTTACATTTGAAAGCAGCACGGGGTAAAATAAGGAAGTGAAACGTGGCGTGTGTGCAGGTGTGTTTGTGTTTGATGGAAGAGGACGTCTGGTAACTGCAGCGCCAGCTAAAATCACGCCTTGTAGGTTTACAATGTGAATTTGCATTTATTAACCAAGAATACAAACACTTGGAGAATATGTGACAATGGGTGTCAACAGGCAGAGTAAAGGGTGTACCTTGCCATGGTTCTGCCGTTTGTACTGCAGCGTCTCCTGCAGGTACAGACGGTAGGTCAGGAAGCCCTCAGCCAGGTGGTGGCTGAGCTCAGGGACACTGAGCAGGTGCTGCTCCACACTCATCGTGTGGCTGCACACAAACAACAATACACACAGGAAACAACATTTGAAAAAAACCCAAAGCTGTAGTTAAAGTGCTTCAGACTGTACTTTAATGCTTGCAGAGGTAATGCATGTTTCCATGTTATTGTAATGACACAGATGAACACCAATATAAACAGACTAAACTTGACTTGATTTGTTGTGATTATATGGATATGTAAAACATGACGTCAGAATTACTTCAGGATATGAAGACATAAAACAAGCGTCATGAAGAAAAAACTACAAAACAAGTAATCTGTTTATCATGTACACACTACACACCTTACAGGGGGAGGCTCTGCATGTTGAACTGCAGTGGGAGAAAACACACAATTAGCAGCTGATCGTAAACACAGAAATGTGTATGAGTAAACAAGCTTTTCAAGACTATTACAGAGCCTTAAGGAGTGAACAGGTTCTACCAAATTTCTTTCGGAGGTTTGTGCTTCGTTGCAGCATAAAAAGTGTATGTAGTGTTTGTATTTGGTAACATATTTATGTTGTTAAATATCAACCAGTCCTATAGTGGTTGAGAATGGGAATGTGAGATTTCCATTCAAGTTACATAAAGGGCTTACTGGTGATGATGGGCATCTTGGGCTTCCATCTCTCCAGCAGCATGAGTCCCAGCAGGGACACACTCAGCAGGAACAGAGGCCGCAGGGAGGTGGATGACAGCAGCCTGTGGAGACACACACACAGTCTGGATGATGTTCAGCAAATAAATCATATCACCAAGTTAAAGTCAATAAATGCATCTATTTGCACCTCTGTTGGTAAACTGTCACTGTCAGCTGGTGACCAGGGCCTGGGCCAGCGAGCATGACATGAGTGCTTGTTAGGATTAGGCTGTGTAACCCCTCAAAATAACTCCTGTTATTAATTTTGTCTGCAAAATATTGTTTTACCCTATGGTTTTACCTGACAGTGTGTAATGTATGACGCTCAATTTTCCTAGCTGAAAAAATGAATTTTAAACTGTTTTGCAAGCTGCGTTAGCATTATGCTAAAGACGTGGGATTAGCTTATTTTGACCAATCTTCTCGCAGCTAACTCAACGCAACATTATTGAGATGTCACAAAAAGGTGAACACGTGACTAAACTCGGATGGTTACCAGAACAATGTGTTGAGTGTCAAGGCGACACAAATGCTGCACAGCGGCCTCTCCCACACCAGCAGCCGCTGCACCCATAGCAGGATGGGCTCATACTGCTGGAGCCAGCCCTGGAGTCTCTCCCGCAGGAGGACCAGCTCCGGGCTCGCGTCCCCGCAGATCTGCTCCGAAGTCCCGGCAGCGAACAGAGACTCAAGGCCGACCGAGGAGGAGGTAACCGAGGGGCGTCTTCTGGCCTCCTCTCCACTCGCCATGTTCCCCCACTTTGTTATGTTGTTGGGATATCACGGGGTATGTGGAAAGAACAGCGTCAAGTGTGACATTCTTTAAGAAATATTGAAACATCCGGTTTTGACTTTCAAAATAAAATCGGTTGCCAACATTTGTTCACATAATACCAACCTGAATATCGTGAAAATAGATGTATTTTGTCAATGTAAAAACATTATTTAAATTGTATTATTTGCATATTATTACCAAATATCACATTTAGTAACATTCTCATTAGAACTTGAAGTACAGACTTGATGTCAGGCACGCTTACTTTATTTTGAAGGCTATATTAATTTCCGGCCTTATCATTGATTATTTCTGGAACCTTGATGGACCAATGGCACAGATGGGCGGACGGCTCACAAGGCCCGTCACGGACGAGAAAAAAACAAAACATAGTCACGTGTTTCCTTGTTTACTGAGACGGAACGGGCTAAAGCCATCGAGAAGCATAAGCCCAAGTGCACCACTGTGAGGTTAGAGATAGAGCTGCATGCATGAAATATGGCATAAAGGTTAGGACACTTCAAAACTGCAAAAGCTCTCCTTAACAAGCACACCCTATCACTTCTGCTGCAGCTACTTTTCCTTCTGCAATACCTATTACTCATTGTATATGAATAGAAAAGGCACAACAGCAAGTTTTGATACAAATGTTTATTACAGAAATAAAAACATATTGATCAATTTGATCAAATGCAGCCAATATTGACATTGTGCTGGAGACCTATAGAGTCGTAGTATCAAGGTCAGCTCACTGTCCTTTGTTGTTACCTGAACACAGCACACAGATCATGAAATAAATCTTTGTGTAAACAACAGCTCATCGTCCCATGTGATCTCTCATTTCAGTCACATATAGATTTCTGAAAGAAATTAGCAAAAGCTAATATTAATAATCAGCCATTTCTGTGGGTTTCCTGAAAAATGATATTTGCTTGCAAGGCATCAGTCAGACAGCTGGGGGGGGGGGGAAGCGGATGTAAAAGCACCATTAGATGTTCTATTAATTAACAATAAAAGTAGTGGTAAAGGCTAGTATAAAAGGGGGGGTTGGTTTGGGTAAAAGGCTCGAGAGCCTACCTGGCTGGATACGCTGCCAGGGCTCAAGTCTACACAGCTGGTAAAGGGGAGAGGGGCCCCTCTGGCCCCTGGTGCTAGGAGTAAAGGGCATCAATACCTGCAGGGGAGAGCACCATGGCCTGCAGCAGGTCGGACAGAGAGATGATGCCCCTCACCACGTCAGACCTGTCCACCAGAACCAGCCGATGGACCTGGGGTTAGGATGGAAATTCATTATTTTTTATTTCATGATAAACATTTCAGAACAGTCTTTTGAAGATAATATCTACCTCAGCTTTGACTATACGATCTAGGATGATTTCCAAGGTTTCATAAGGGTAGCATTTAATCACTCCTTCAACAAAACATGAGCGCCTGCGAACAACCTCGTGCATAGGCATGTCCAGATTGTTGTAAATCTTCTGGGCTGCTATATTCTGCCACAGAGTAAACAAAATGTCAGCAAACAATGAAACGATATTCAAAGATAGTACACTTTAGGGTATTGCACGTTGAGATCAGAAACAGAGCCGTCAGATTACTTACAATCACATCAAATCTTGAGTAGAGAGACACCACTCTGCCTGAGAAACAAAATGTTGACAGCTGTTCAACCAGAATTAGGAGGATTTCCTTAATGTATTTGACTCTAATACCCAGTTATACAAATACATAAATCCCTATAATACCTTGTTCATCCACCACAGGTAGTGCAGACACCCGTCTCTCCACAAAAATGGAGAGGGCATGGAACAGCGTGGCAGTTTGCTGAACAGTGGCGATGTTAGTAAATGTCCCAATCCTCAGCTCCTGGATCTGCCTTCCAATGAAAGCAGGCTTTGGAACTGTTTTCCCCTAAAACACCATAGAAGAAGAGCATGAATGCATGCACAAAGTAAATAAACCAGGTTTAATGTAAGTAAAAAAATCATGTGCTCGCTCACAAATATATGGAGGAACTTGAGGATTCTTTTGTGGGTGAGGATGTGCAAGACATTTCCAGACACTGGGTCGATGACTGGCAGCCTGTGGATCTTATTCTTCAGTAACGAATAGATGGCATCAAAAAGACTAAGAGGAAACGCGTAGAGGATACATTTGACATCAATTCATCTAGAATCAAGAGAATTACAACAGTTTCAAAAGTCTGGTTATCACCTGGCTTCTGGAGTGATGTGAATGAGGAAGCGATTGAAACACTGCAAGTGGACATCTAGACAGAAGAGTAAAGAGAGAGAGCGCTGTAGATTTACAGAGACGGTGTATCACTGATCCCTCGTGGTTATTTACTTTGAAATGAATCACCTCTCCATGTCTCGATCTTGTGGCTCTCCAGCTCGTACATTTGAACCTTCAAAAAGGGAAACCCAGAAGTCAAGATATGAGTCACTCACCACACCTCAAGAAGGTCAAAGCAAATATAGAACACCAGCTAAACATAAAGTAAAATGTTGACGTTTAACACTGCGTGCATTGAACGTGTTCATTCAAACGTTGTGATATTCACTGTGTTTCAAATCCATGCTCACCAAGGGGGACTTGTAATAGCAATGCAGGAAGTTGATGAAATCTGTAATGGTCAGCATACCTGTGAGAGGAAAGGATTTATGTTGCTGTTATTAAATTCCCACTGACCTATACTTCACAATTTGTCCTCACCTTACCCACAAATCTCTGTAACTTGCTGTCCCATAAAGGTGCCGCCCTCAAGCCGTTTGCCACCAGTGCATAGAAGGCCTTCTTCACCTGTGGAAGTCACACATTCACACACTCAGAGGGAGGATGTAACCTCCATATTTCAGTTTGTTCAAAATCTTCTTACTTGTAGTTTGGTATCAAATATGACCAGTTTACAGCTGGTTGGAATGGCATCGTAGCAGCTGTGACTTTTCATGAAATTCATGTAGACCGTGCCGTCAGCCTCTACGAGAAAGCACACGTTTAAAAGTCCTGATCCATTATGCATGTGTACTACAGACAAAATGGAAACACACATGCATCCAATGGTTGTAATCCTACCTTGTTTCTTTACTTCCTTTTCTGGGAGTGACACCTACAAACATTCAAAAGACATTGACAGAATAGTTTCCCTTGTTTTAATAACACCACAAACACTTTTCTTGTATTCATGTTCAACCCGAGTATCTCACCTGTGAGGTAGGCTCCATGTTTCTGTTGTGTTTCCATGAAAAAGTTGATGTCGAAGCAGCGAAGCGTTAACGGCTGGTGGCTCCGGACGGTTTGTTACCCTTTCCTCCAAAGCAGTCGGGTCTATATTAGGAACTCTCAAGTGGTATGTTTCCGGCCAGGGGTGGATGGGAGGGGTACAATAACATGGCACAGGCTCAAGGGGGAGGGACGACGACTGTTCTGCCGAAACAGGACATCTGCTTAAGACACATTAGGAATGCATTGGCCTGGCGCCTGTCATCTCATATCCCAAAATGTGCCACCTTTTACTGGCTTCAGTAGAGAGTAGCACACCCAAGATGGAAGCTTCTGGCATAAGATTCATCCTTGAAATGTTTGACAAATGATTTATTAACAGCGGCTATGTCAGAAATGGAAGTAAATGTCAAAGCTTCATGGACTAAATGTGTTACAGAGGCTGTGATCTCAGATGACAATGTTGTTAAAAGATGATTCACAAAATGTCCCAAAGAAATGCATTCTTTATTATTTCTACAGATTTGTACAATATTTGCATTTTACACCATGTACAAAATGAAAGGACTTCGTGCTGTATCAAATTCCGATGTCCAGAGCGATTTTATCGAAGTATCAATTACAAAGTGAATGTCCTGGGGACTGTGTATAACTGTACATGAAAACAAAACGGATTCTTCACATATTCCTCCGGTGTTCAAAATACACACACTGCTGTTATAGCGGAGTGAAATGTCCTGTTGCAGTGAAAATGGAGCCAGATGTGCAAAGTTCAGACTGCATCAACAGAGAAACACTTCTGCTAGCTTGTAACGTTCTATTCAAAATGTTAACTTCAGAAGCACCCGGCAGACCCATCGTATGTATACACTTTTCCCATGTAGGCTAATCTCTTAAATGTGGCTACATTACCCTGTTACACATGGCATTAAGGTTGTGTGATATCCTGTTGCTATATAGAATCTGGAAGGTTTATAAGCTATAAATGACCAGAATAAGGTACACTGAGGTATGGAGACGTTGCATTCAAATGGTCTTTTTCCTTTCTTTGACGCTTCCTCTTGAATAAAAGGGGAGAGTTTACAAAGATGGGAGACAATTTGTTTTACAAACTAAGTCAAATCTGGTTTATAAAATCAGTGTTTGATGTAAAGCTCCCGTTGCATACGTGACAAATAGATGGTAAAACTAGGCAAATATGGATAAGCAAAAGTAAAACTGCTTTAATCCCTTCTTCTCACGGAGCAAATTTAAAATAACAACTCAACTTTCAGATACGCTGCGAAACCTCCGAACACTTCCATGAGCTTGCCTAGTAACAAGCAGCCTTAATATAATAACTCAAAACACCACACCCATCACAAAGGCCCTGTATCACCACCTGGCAGATCTGAACTTCAAAACAATATTAAAAAGCTTAGCAAAACAGTTTGGTTGCAGCCAATGAAAAACAAACTATCCTGCATTTAAAACCGGTTGCAGAGAACTAAGGGAACACTATGGCATTTTACTTATGGCAAATGTATTCTGCAGTGCTATGCTGTAAGTGAACTTCCACCACCTCACTCCTACTGTGCCTCATACCTCTCTCCTTTGCACCTGTATTCTAGATCTGGAAAAGTAAACAAAAACCTGACGTCAAACAGTCATGAGTAGAATGCTGGTTTCATTTCCAGAGTCCGTCACCACAGGTCCACAGCGGCCATGTTTCCTGTCACTACCCGGGCAGGAGCAGAGCTTGAGCTTTATCGACAGGCAGCATAGTCTCTGCAGGACGACAGGGTCCCAGCTGTAGAGGGGGAAACAGGCGAGAGTTCAGACCCGGCTCGGCCCCCCCAAGGAGCCACGACGCATGGTTATCAAGGGGGCCGTGAGCAAAGACTGTTGAGGTGTTTCTAAGCCCGCACTCGAGACGAGGAAGGGACGCCAGACAGCCGGGACAGAAGAAGGACACAGGAGACCAGGTCTGGGGAGGACCAGGATCAGTTTCAGGATGTATGTGACCCATTGAGGCGAGGAGGGACCCCCAGAGACACAACACGGACGTCTGGGAGGTAACAGGTGGTGGACTGTGCTCTTCTTCCTGGTTGACTCCAAGTGTTCCGGTCTGACGGTTGTCACTCTTGTTAGCGAGAACACAACAGGGGAGGCGCGGGGCTGCAGGAGAAGCTTTCTCATTGAGGTCGGGGGTCTTGAGGTCTGGGATAATGTCAGCTGGACGCAGGGCCTGTCCGCTCCTGGAGAGACTGAGCTGGTGCAGCACGGCGCTGGTGGCGATGAGGCCGGCAACACTGGTCAGATACACCAGGCCGAGCATACAGGACACCTGGAGACACAATCAATACGGATTTACGATACAAACATCTCAAGAGTAACATATCACCCCAGCTGCTTTGAAACAAACTCCCTCCCACCTTGGTGAAGTGCTGGCAGATGGCTGCGAGGGCTTGGCTCCAGGCTGATTGTTCCAGAAGCACACAGAGGTCGGTGTAGGTGAACCAGCCGCGCTTCATTCCCTGCCGCTCTGCAATGCTGCGGATACAGAAATAGTGGTTACGCCAGAAACAGCGCTCAAACACAACACGGAAACCGTCTATAATGTCAAAACTGTAGCGCAGGTTGAAAGAGAAGACTACCAACCTGGTTTCCACTTGACTTAGTAAATCAAATAAGTCATTTGGCTCCGTGAAGAGGCTCCACTCCTATAAGATATTACACAATGGTTGAGACGGAGAACTTGACCCACACATGCACGTAAGGACACACCACGTAGAAAATGCCAACACACTCACGATGGCATTCAAGAAGTTCATCTCCAGGTTATTGACCGTTTTCACGTCCAACTTCCCAGCTGCTCCCCACTCGTCGTTGAAAACCTCTTCTTCCTCTCCTTCGTCATACAGGTACTTGCTGGCAACCATCTTATTCAGAGAGATCAGTGGCTTTGTTAATGCATTATCCTATTTACATGATTAATTCAAGATACCAGAAGTAGAATGACGACAGCACGTATTAAACTCCATTGGGAAATGAGCAGTGCCCATGCCAGATGTCACAGTGACACATTTGGATTGACCCATGACCCCAACACACATACCATGGAGATCAGGAAGAGGTCAGAGGAGGAGATCTTTTGTAGGTATTCAGGGTTTCTATGTCGGAGCCTTTCAATGTAAACAAGAGCCAGCATCATGGCACACGGAGAGATGCAAGCTTCCCTGCAGCAGAAAATAGAAACGTTTTTATGAGGTTTGACAGGCGCAGGGCCAAACTCACTGCCTGTAGCAAGGCACCATCTATGCATAGAAGGACAAACCTGGAAACATGTGCAGCATATTTCTTCTGGAGCTTTCTGATGGGGCTTGGGGCAGACTTCTGGAAGATTTCCACAGCGATATCTGGCATCACAGAGAGTATGAAGACAAAGTTAACACAACAGTGGTGGAATGTAACTAACTACATTTACTGAAGTGTTGTTCTTAAGTTAAAAAAAAAAAAAATGGAGGTATGTTTTTACACATTTAGTGACTAGTTACTTCTTAATACAAAAATATAAAGTATAAACGTTAAGCTACCTAGTTGTAGATAAATCAAATAAACCCCACTTTCTTTTAGTGGAACATTGAAGTGACGAACACATTAATGCACCAATAATTATCAGTCATTCAAAATATGACACATAGTACTTGAGTTGGCCATTCAGCATTGTGAGTACTTTTGATACTTTAAGTATAATTTGATGCTAATACTTTAACTGTAGCTGAGTATTTTTACACTGTAGTATTGCTACTTTTAAAGTGAATCCTTTTGGGTACTTCTTCCACCTCGTGTACTCTCATAATCTATTTGAGTTTTTAATGTATTGTGTACATGTCGCAACAACTTCACAGATGTCCTGACATTGATAATAGCAAATCTGCCAAACCCGCCTTGCACAGGAAGTATTTATTATGGAGGTGTGCCAGAGAGGAGCTCAGTCAGTTATGTACCAACATTGTTAAAAAAGCTCATATTGAACTCACCTGTAACAGGGCAAGAGAGGGCATCTAAAGAGATGTCTTTGTCCAGACCATAGTACAGGCGCTTCCTCACTCTGTCTGTCAGCCTCTGGTGTCCAGGAAGGAACTGCAACACAACACATTACAAAAAGCAATGATTAGGGGAACTAACGTTAAACAGGTAGAATATTAGTAAAGTTAATTAAAACACTCATTAACGGAGTAAATAACATTCTACTTTTACATTTTGTTAGCTGTAATTGGCCCTTCGTAGTGTTTATATGACAGTAAGTCTACAGATTTGTATCCGTCACAGTCAACTAGTATATATTTTACTTTATAGTTCTGATATAATGTCTATTTAGAGACGTTTATATTTGATGTTTGTTTACTTTCTAATATTTGTATTTCTCAAATGATGTGCAAAGCCTTATTTTAACCTGCTGCTGCTGTTACGAAAACGTACACATCTTACATCTTATCTTATTTATCTTTACCCAGTTCTCATTATACCCACATGTTTACAGGAAGTGTGGCCCATACGCCATATTGTTTAACATTAGCTGTATGCTAAGCTAACGCTAGGCCTGTAGATTGTCAACAGGCGCAAAATGACAGTAGCTAACAAAGTGCTTGTCGTTTAGAGCTTGGTTTTTTTATGAATGTTTTTAAACGACACATTGTTCAGGTGGAATAAGAAACAATTTAATCAAACTAAATCAAAGCTATGTTACCTAATGTCCCCGGTCAGTGTATTATGAGGAACACAATGTTACCAGCTGACTGAAACTAATGCGCCTAGCTTTAGCTTCCGTACTTTGTTGACCGAGCAACTCGACAACATACCGTAAACTCCTGGAAGTCCGAGAACTGAAATGTCTTCTCGTTGAATAAAGCGTCGAAATCCATATTGACTATAGATTATACATTAGTCCACTGAATGTTGAAGAGACGACTGTGTTTGGCCTCCGTCCGTCTGACAAGGAGAGCCCGAATAGCAACACGCCCCGACCCGGGACACAGAGGCAGCGTCGAGCAATGCCGCCATCTTGTGGAGATACTCTGGTACTGCAGTGTAAAAACAGCCACACATATTGACAGGGAGATATCTGAAGACTATCTGTCAAATACACACTAGAAAGGGCCAATTACAGCAATCAACATTTAAAAGTAGGATATTATTTACATTAAGTGTGCATGGAATAGCATATTCAATTAAATAGTGATTGTAAAAGGTATGAGGGATATTCTCAAAATAACTGGTACATTTCAGACTGGAATACATGGAAAAAACCTTTTATTTTTTACAAGTAAAATGAGCAATACCTTGTCACAAAGATATACAACATTGCAAATTCTTATTTCGAAATTGTTTATATGCCTGCATGTATATATAATACATGAAGTGAAAATAATGGTTGGTATTATAACTGCATTATCTATTAAGTTTGATCTTTTTCACAGCAGATAATTTGACTTTATGCAGAAGAAGCAGCTATGACGGATATCTGAGGTTCAATATCCAAGTGCCAGCTCTTATTGTCTGCATCACTTTATATGTAAATGAGCCAGTCTAAAGTCAGTTCTTTAAAAAAAGAAATCACAGGTTCTGTAATGTTCAATATTCCTTAACCCTTAAGACGAGCAACACACCTCACTTTAGTTTAGTGATCAAGAGTATAAAGACGCTTGCACATAGAAAAGTATCACTTACATTTAAATAACAGCAGAGCTCACATATCGAAAACCTAAAACAAAGTAATATAATAAATAAAACCAAGCTGAATAAATTCCCTATTGACAGCTCATTTACATATCCATTGTCATTCATCATTCACCCCTATTTCTTGCACCTCTCCCTTTATATCTTTAAATAGTGTATATCAGGACTTAGATTAAGAAAATATGTTTTAAATGAGTCAGCACAAACCGAAAAAATTCATGTCTAACATATAAAAATAAAGACAATGTTAAAAGATGGCAGCAGGAGGGCTTTTAAATGTAATAATATCTTTAAAAAAATATGTTAAACATTGAAACACTGGGAGTTACCCTGATGAATGCATGGGTCTTAATGCACTACTTTTCATTACGTTTGGAAATAATAATTCAGGACGGATTTCATTTATAATAATTGTACCTTTTGGGGGTATAAAAATCATTTGGACACCACCAGATCGTGTGCGCCGCCTCAGTTTGGTGAAGGCACCTTCTCTACTCTCAAGTACACTTTCAGTTTGACTCCGTAATAAAAACTCAAAAGCACATTCAGTGACCGTGGTGGTCTACAGAGGTGGACGGCGGCTGCATTTTCTCAGACTTGAGGTCTTTGGATTCTGTTTCTGAGGAGGAGTCGCAGTCCAGGGCTTGCTGCTGGTTCATCCACATGTCAGCGTACAGGCCTCCCTTAGCCAGCAGCTCCTCGTGCCTGGGAGGGAGAGAAGGTGTGTCACCTCAAGTTCAAAGAGATCATGAGGATGAAAGTGAGAACATTTCACACTCACCGTCCTCGCTCGGCGACCCGGCCGTCCCTGATAACCAGAATCTGGTCTGCTGCGATTATAGTGGACAGCCTTTAACAAAGAAGAAGGGATTAACTCAACCTTTGTAAACAAATTAAAAACACTTCTACAGCTCGTGCATCTCTTACCTGTGAGCTACGACAACTGTTGTTCTGTTGGTACAGACTTTATTCAGCGAGGCCTGGATGTTGCGTTCTGTCTGTGTGTCCAGAGCAGATGTGGCCTGCAGAGAGACATTCATCGACATAACTTGGACTGTAGGAATATTTCCCAAGGCTTCAATCTTTATTTTAAATGTGTTCTTTGTAATCTCACCTCGTCCAGGAGTATGATCTGTGGTGCTTTGAGGATGGTTCTGGCGATGGCCACCCTTTGCTTCTCTCCTCCACTCAGCTTCAGACCTCTTTCACCGACCTGTGTTTCATAACCTGCCAGCGAAAAAAAAAAATCACAATCAGGCAAATACGGCAAAAAAAAAAATGCAAAGTTACTAAATACTTGATACATTATCTTTGCGTCACCTTCAGGGAACGTCATGATTTTGTCGTGTATATCAGCCGCGGAGGCCGCCTCCTCCACCTCCTGGTCGCAGGCGGAGATGCGGCCGTAGCGGATGTTGTTCCTGATGGTGTCGTTGAACAGCACGGTGTCCTGGGGAACCACGCCGATGTGAGACCGCAGAGAGGCCTGCTTCACCTGAGGAGAAAACAATAAGACGTATTCATCACTAGTCCAACGAGAGCAGTTAGATGCCTTATCATTTAAACCTGCTACTTAGCGCCGGTGATACTATTTAAGCTGTGTCTGATTATCATGTAAGGCTCATTATGTTAATGCATCAATACAGAGACACTGCTTGAACTCCAGAAGTATATGCTTTGATCATCCTGTGCCTAATTGCACTTTTAATTGTGTTTCCATGTTCATTTACTTTTGATATGTCCTGCCCGTCGATGCTAATGCAGCCTCCCTGAACGTCATAGAAACGGAAGATGAGTCTCATGATGGTGCTCTTCCCTGAGCCGGACGGTCCCACCTGGGGAGGTTCAGAGGGAAAGACAACAGTCTCACTTTGCTGTACGAGTGAGTGGGTCATTTAGAAATGAAGTGGTTCCTTACCAGGGCAACCGTCTGTCCTGGAAGCACGGTGAAGGACACATCCCTGAGGATCTCCTTGCTGTGCAGAAAGAGGGTTGGAACATTCAAACTAAGTCATCTACACACTGTATTACATCATGAAACAACATGCCGTCATATCGAGTGGGAACCAACCCGTTTACGTAGCTGAAGTAAACGTTCTCAAACTCCACTTTTCCCTTTTTGTATTGAAGACTTCCTGCATTCATTACATCCTTCACCTGCATGACAGAGCAAGTACAGAACATGTCAAACAAAAAGGTGGATAACAAAACAGGAAAACACAAAACAAGCATGGTCCGGTCTGAAATGTACCTCTTCGTCCTCTTCGAAAAGGTCAAACATGCTCTCCATGTCAATGAAAGAGTTCTGGATCATTCTGGAGAAGAAGAAAATGGAGCCAACCGTTTACAACAACCTTCACAATGGATGGGTTTTCAGCACGGTGCGTTCAAAGACTTTTCTTCTTACCTGTAGTAAGTACCAAACCAGTTGAGGGGGGTGTACAGCTGGATGATGTAGGTACCAAAGAGAACAAAGTCTCCAACCTAGAATAAAATGATTGTCATTCTTCCCATGTAATCCGTAAAAGACAACACAAAGTCATCATTCGGAAGTGATTCAAGAATATATATAATGGTTTCCCTGGATGTGGTCGGTACCTGAAACTTCCCCTCCGTCACAAAGTAGGCGCAGAGCAGGGAGCCGGCCAGCAGGCCCGACCCGATGATGAGGTTCTGGGTTTGGTTGAGGAAGGCCAGCGACGCCTGGGTCTTCCACTCTGACACCTGAAGACAGGAGGAGGAAGACCTTCAGAACCAGGACTGCATGGACTGGGTATACATGTAATAATGGATGCCAATATGCTGCACATTAGCTGGTAAACAACTAGATCAGTGCTTCTCAAACTTTTTCATACCAAGGAGTCGGACCACTCAACCAATAAAAAAACACTCGCGGACCACCTAACTTCACAAATATCCCAAATCACA